TCGAGGCTGCGGTGGCCGGGAGCAGCCACTGCACTCCATCCAGTCTGGGCGACAGTGAGACTCCAACTCAAAAAAGAAAAAAAAGAAGAAGGCTTTTTTGTGACTGATTTACTCTCACTCTGCTACTTGTGAGGCCCTTTGACTGCTTTTAATTTCTTCCCACTATTATTTCAAGATTTATATATTATGTTCATTATTTATTATCTGTCTTCCTCCACTAGAACATAAGCTCCGTGAGGACAAAGATCTTTGTTTTATTCATAAGTGCATCCCGGATAGCCAGAACTGTAGCTGACAGTATAGAAGCACTGGAAGGATACATGTTGAATGCGAGGCACCCTAAATCCATCCGTTTGCTTCCAGATAGCCTTCTGCCTACATCCCTTTCATTGTTCCTTTCTCTACCAAAATTGAAAAGTAGTTTTCGTCTCTTTACAATTTGGCTTCTCTGAGGGTGTGATAAGAGCAGCTGAAGAATTAAAAAGATGTGTTCAACTCTTGTGCCTACGAATTTATTTGTTTCTGCCAAACTTTCAGATATTCCAGTAGAGGAAAATTGTGCTTTGGCTATAGGTTCATCTTTGTCTATAATAGCACTTCAAAATGCAAGAGTTAAAAGCATTTCCTTCGCTTATTTTTAGTATGTGCACCTTCTCCCCTCAGTTACCCACGTGGATAGGCGTTCATGATCTAGTGAACATTGATAGTGTTTTCTTAGTCCTGGTGATTTTCATGTTTATTTCATTTGTCTTCCCAGTAGTTTCATAATGAGGTACTCTTGTTGATTGGTTAATTCTGTTTACGTAGTCTTTACTTACTTAATTTAATAATGGTGAGGAAACGAATTGCAAATTATGTAACTTTTCCAAGATCCTACAACTATTAAGTGACAGAACTGGAATTTGAATATTGGCAGTCTGATTCCAGAGTTGTCTTTTTTTTTTTTTTTTGAGTTGGAGTCTCACCATTCTGTTGCCTAGGTGGAGTGAAGTGGCATGCTCACGGCCACCCCAGCATCGACCTACTGGGCTCCGGCAATCCTTTGCCTCAGCCTTCCAAATAGCTGGAACTACAGGCACGTGCTACCACGCCCAGCTAAGTTTTGAGTTTTTGTAGAGACAAAGACTTGCTAAGTTGCCTGGGCTGGTCTCGAACCCACGGGCTCAGACAAGCCACTCATCTCGGCCTCCCAAAGTGCTAGGATTACAGGCTGAGCCACCGAGCCTGGCCCAGAGTCTTCTTTTGATCTTTAAAAAATTTGGCTGTGTGCAGTGACTCCTGCCTGTAATCCCAGCACTTTGAGAGGCCAAGGCTGGCGATTGCTTGAGACCAGCCTGGGCAGTATAGAGAAACATACAAAAAAAACTAAATAAGAATAAATAAATAATTTGTGGTAAATATATAAAACATAAGCACTTATAAATGTTTGATTCAGTGGCATTAAGTACTTTTGCAGTGTTGTACAGTCTTCGCTATCTATTTCCATAACTTCCCTCTTGCCTCCACTGGTGATAACCTCTATTTTACTTTCTTTTTTTTTTTTTTTGAGTTGGAGTCTCACTCTGTCGCCCAGACTGGAGTGCAGTGGCTGCTCCCGGCCACCGCAGCCTCAACCAGCTGGGCTCCAGCAATCCTTCCGCCTCAGCCTTCCAAGTTGCCGGAATTACAGGCATGCGCTACCACGCCAGGCTGATTTTTTGATTTATTGTAGAGATGAGGTCTCGCTGCCCAGGCGGGTCTCGAACCCGCAGGCTCAGACAATCCACTTACCTCAGCCTCCCAAAGGCGCAGGATTACAGGCTGAGCCACCGAGCGCGGCTATTTTACTTTCTATCTCTATGAATTTGCTTATTCTAGGTACCTTATGTAAGTGGAATTGTACAATATTCATCCTTTTGTGTCTGGTTCATTTTACTTAACATGTTTTTAAGCTTCATTCATGTTGTAGCATATATCAACAATTTCTTTTTAATCCAAAATAATATTCCATTGGGTGTTAGTACCATATTTTGTTTGTTCATTTATCTGTCAATAGACATTTGGATTATTTCTGTCTTTTGACTCTCTTAAATAATGCTGCTGTGAATATTGGTGTATAAGTATCTGAGTCTCTGCTTTCGATTCTTTGGGTATATACCTAGAAGTCACCTTGCAGGATCATATGATAATTCTGCTTAGCCCTTTAACTTTTTTTTTTTGAGTTGGAGTTTCACTCCATCACCCAGACTGGAGTGCAGTGGCCGCTTCCGGCCACCGCAGCCTTGATCTGCTGGGCTCCGGTGATCCTTCCGTTTCAGCCTTCCGAGTAGCCGGAATTACAGGCACGCACTACCACGCCCAGCTGATTTTTGATTTATTGTAGAGATGAGGTCTCACCAAGTTGCCCAGGCGGGTGTTGAACCCGTGGGCTCAGGCAGTCCACTCACCTCAGCCTCCCAAAGGCACGGGATTACAGGCTGAGCCACCGAGCCTGGCTAACCTTTAACTTTTTTATGTAGTAAAATGCAGTAATATATCCTCAAAGAAGATAAGTTTCTTGCGTTCAAACATTTTGGTCAATCGTCTTTATTGTATTCTCAGTGAAGTTGAAAACTGCCTGTACAGACATGTGTTACTTAATGATAGGATATATTCTGAAAAATATATTGTTAGGCAATTTCATCATTATGTGAACATCCTAGAGTGTACTTACACAAACCTAGATGATATAGCCTACTGAATACCTAGGCTATATGGTATGGCTTATTGCTCTTGGGCTGCACACCTGTATAGCATGTTACTGTACTGAATGTTGTAGGCAGTTGTAACACAATGGTTATTTGTGTATCTAAACATGCCTAAACAGAAAAGGTACAGTAAAAGTATGATATTATAATCTTATGGGAGCATTATCGTATATGTGGTCCATTATTGACCAACGTGTCATTATGGGTATGTGACTGTGTTTTAGAGTATGAGAGATGTACAGTATCAGCTTCTGAAAGTTAGAGAGCCTTTTATATTCTGTTTGTGCCTGGCTTGATGTGATCATTCAGCCAAGATAGCCAGTTTATCTCATCACTTCCTGCCTTAACATGTTCTATACTATGTACCAGCAGATCGACTGCAATCTTATCTTTGCCCAGCATTCTTTTGTAATCTTCTATATAAAACTCTTTTCCTTTTGAAAAATTATAGCCACCTTTTCAAAACTGTCTTCTAAATTCATTATTTTCTTTGTTGAATGCTATATGTTACTTGGTACATTTTCTACTTTGGAGATTTATGTTCATTTTGTATTATGTGACATACTTATTTTGATGTCTTATTTAATTTACATTTAATATTGTGAATTCTTTGAGGATATAGGGTATATATGTGTGTTTAGTTTTCTCGCAGTGCATAATATATAGAGTATAAACTCATTAAGTATTTTCGAATGCTTGATTTGAAGGTAGACCCACTAATATTACATTTTGCAGTTTAAAACCTCTGAAAATCATTGTCTCTATTTCTTTTCTTTCTTTTTTTTTTTTTTTTTTTGAGTCAGAATCTTACTCTGTTGCTCAGGCTGGAGTGCAGTGGCACACTTATGGCCACTGCAGCCTCGACCTGCTGTATTCAGGTGATCCTTCCTCCTCAGCCTTCCAAATAGCTGGAACCACAGGCATGTGCCATCACACCCGGCTAATTTTGATTTATTGTAGAGATGAGGTCTCGCCAACTTGCCCAGGCTGGTATCGAACCCCTGGGCTCAGACAATTCTCTCGCCTTAGCCTCCCAAAGTGCTGGGATTATAGACATGAACCACCATGCCCAGCTGTCTCTGTTTCTTACTTTAAATGTTGACAGGTGTCAGTTTAGTTGGATATTGGTCGAAAGGAAATATGAAATTTGAGTCCAGAATAGCTTATATTTAGTAGATAAGATATAGAGTCAAAATTCAAGTCTAACCCTTTTTCTCTAAGTAACCTCTACTTTCTTTTCAGATTGTTGCCAGCAAAGGAGGTTTTGAAATGGTCACCAAAGAGAAGAAATGGTCTAAAGTAGGTAGCCGCTTGGGATATCTGCCAGGAAAAGGAACTGGGTCTCTTTTGAAGTCACACTATGAAAGAATTCTCTACCCGTATGAGCTTTTCCAGTCTGGTGTCAGCCTTATGGTGAGATGCATCATTTTTCTTCGGAGTGGATAAATCCAGTTTGCCAAGTATAAACTTGAGATCATGTTCAGTACAAGCTAGCAGGCACCAGTATTTGGGGAAGCAGCGTGTATATCATAGTGTAAAAAAATCATAGCTGTTTTTTATTTGCAAGATAAAGACTAACAGGAGTGAAGGCTGTTTTCTTACTTATTTAAAATAAATCTTAGTCCGGGTATGGTGACTCAAGCCTGTAATCCCAGCACTTTGGGAGACTGAAGAGAGAGGATTCCCTGAGCCCAGGGATTTGAGACCAGCCTGGGCAACTTGGTGAGACCTCGTCTCTACAATAAATAAATAAATAAATTTAAAAATTAGCGGGGCATTGTGGCGCACGTGTGTAGTTCTAGCCTTCCAAGGCTAAGGCGGAAAGATCGCCTGAGCCCAGCAGGTCGAGGCTGTGGTGGCTGTGAGCGTGCCACTGCACTCCAGCCTGGGTGACAGAGTGGGACTCCAACTAAAAAAAAAATCTTTATTACTTAAGTTTTTTGAAAAAGTCCTCCTGTTTCATGTATTTTTTAAAAATAACTTTATTGAGGTATAACTTATATAATATAGAATTCATCCGTTGTAGGTACACAGTAAGTAAGCTGTAATAAACTTGCGCATTTACACAGCAATAACCATGATCCAGTGTTAGAATACTTCCACCAGCTCAAAAAGGTCTCTTGTGTTCATTTGTAGTTGATTCCTCTTCTACCCCCAAACCCAGGCAACTCCTGATGTGTTTTCTGGTTCTATAGTTTTGCCTTTTCTAGAAATTTCACATGGATGTAATTACACAATATGATTTTATGTCTGGCTTCTTTCACTTAGTCTTAACATTTTCAAGGTTCATCCATGTTATATAGCATGTGTCAGTACTTCATTCCTTTTTATGGCTGAATAATATTCCAGTGTCTGGATGTACCATATTTTGTTTATACATTAACTAATTGGTGGATAGTTAGTGGTTGTTTTCAGTGTATGGTTGTTGTGAATAATGTTATGAATATTCACGTACCAGTCTTTGTGTGGACATGTTTTCATTTCTCTTGGGTAGATACCCAAGGGTGGAATTGATGGGTTATATGGTAAGTGAGTATGTAAATACTTACTTAGTTTTTGAGTCGGGATCTACCTCTGTCACCCAGACTGGAGTGCAGTGGCATGATCACAGCTTACTGCAGCCTCCCACTCCTGGACTCAAGCCATCCATCCTCCTCAAGCTACCATACTACAGATGTATGCCACCTTGCCTAGCTTACGTTTTTTTTGTAGAGACGAGGTCTTACTATGTTACCCAGGCTGGTCTTGAACTCTTGGGCTCAAGCAGTCTTTCCACCTTGGCCTCCCAAAGTGTTGGGATTACAGGAGTGAGCTACCACTCCTAGCTTATATTTAATTTTTAAGAAACTGACAAATTGTTTTCTAAAATGGCTGAATCATTTTACTTTCCCAGCAGTAATGTAGACATTTAGTTTTTTCTACATCCTGGCTAACAGTATTGTCAGTTTTTAAAATTATAGCCATTCTAGATAGATATGTAGTGGTATCTTATTATGGTTTTAATTTGCATTTCCCTAATAACTAATGATGTTGTGCATCTTTTCATGTTCATATTAGCTATTTGTATATCTTCCTTGAAGAAGTATCTGCTTAAATCTTTTTATTTTAATTTTTACTTTTTTTTTGAGTCAGAATCTTACTGTTGCCCAGGCTGGAGTACAGTGGCATGGTCATGGATTACTCTAGCCTCGACCTCCTGGTCTCTGATGATCCTTCCATTTCAGCCTTCCAAGTAGTTGGGGCTACTGGCACGCATTACCACAACTGGCTAATTTTTTGACTTTTTGTAGAGATGATATCTTGCTATGTTGCCTAGCAGGCTCAAACAATCCTCCTGCTTTGGTCTCCCAAAGTGCTAGGATTACAGGCATAAGCCATCATGCCTGGTCTAAAATCTTTTTAGAAATTGTGTTGTTTGTCTTCTTCTACTTGTAAGAGTTTATTATATATTCTGAATACAAAGTCTTTGTCAGATAATGTGATTTACAACTATTCTACTCTGTGGTTTATCTTTTCATTTTTATATTGGTGTCTATTTGAAGGATAGCTTATCAGTTTTTTCTTTGATGGATTGTGCTTTTTGTGTCGTATTTAAGAAATCTTTTCCAAGATCACAGATATTTTCTTTTTAATCTAGAAGTTTTATAGTTTAGCTTTTATATTTTAGTATGTGATGCATTTTGAGTGGTTTTTTGTATGTATACTGTGAGGTAAAGGTGTAGGTTTTGTTTTTTGTTTTTTTTTGATGGTAAGGGGTATGTGAATACTCAGTTGTACCAGTATTATATGTTTAAAATCCTTCCCCCATGGATTTACCGTGGCACCTTTGTTGAAAATTTGTGGACCATAAATGTATGGAATTATTTCTGGACTGTGTTCTGTTCCATTGATCTGTATGTCTACCCAACACCAATACCACACTGTATTGAGTACTATAGCTTTATAGTAAGTTTTGTGGGGTTTTTTGGTTTTTTTGAGTTTTTTTTGAGTTGGCATCTCATTCTGTCGCCCAGGCTGGAGTGCAGTGGCATGCTCACAGCCACCTGAGCATTGACTTGCTGGGCTCCAGCGGTCCTTCTTCCTCAGCCTTCCAAATGGCCGAAACTACAGGTGTGCTATCACGCCCGGCTAATTTTAAACTTATTGTAGAGACGAGGTCTCACCAAGTTGTCTGGGCTGATTTCAATCCCATGGGCTCAGGCAGTCCTCTCGCCTCAGCCTCCCAAAGTGTGGGATTACAGGCTGAGCTACCGTGACCAGCCAGATACTAGCCTTTTTCATCTCCTCAGAATCTCTCATGGAATCAGAATTTCTGTAGAAATCTGCATCTGCCTTCTTTCTTGGTTCAGCCACAGCAAACTTATAGAGAATTGTAGCCCCCAGGCATACAGCGAATGCTCCAGTAATATGAAACCACAGATGCCAGGCATCTGAGGCTATCCATCTGAGGGTTCATCAAAGTACTGGAAACCATGATAGTTATTGTCCTTGATAGGTATGTCAGCCTCAACACTAGCTTCCTTCCTGGATCTGTAGTAAATTTTGATATCTAGTAGTGTACGTTCTTTTTGTTCTTTTTCAAAATTTCCAAACACTTTACATTTTCACATAAATTTTAGGATCAGATTTCAGTTTCTACTAAAAAAACACAAAGACCAGGCTCGGTGGCTCAGCCTGTAATCCCGTGCTTTTGGGAAGCTGAGGTGAGTGGATTGCCTGAACCCGCGGGTTCGAGACCCGTCTGGGCAGGCGAGACCTCATCTCTACAATAAATAAAATTAGCCGGGCGTGGTAGCGTGCGCCTATAGTTCCAGCTACTTGGAAGGCTGAGGCGGAATGATCACCGGAGCCCAGCAGGTCGAGGCTGCGGTGGCCGGCAGTGGCCACTGCACTCCAGTCTGGGCGACAGTGAGACTCCAACTCAAAAAAAACCCCAAAAAACCAAAAAAACACAAAGCCTGCCAGGATTGCCATAGGGATTGCCCTGAGTCTGTAGAACACTTTGAGAGAGAATTGCAATCGGTTTCATATAGTTTTAGGGATTTACTGGCAATTTATTCTCCATGGATTCTCAAGCCAAATTTCTTATCAGCGAATCTGCTCTTTCTGTGCTCTGCTCTTTTAGGGTGTACAGATGCCTAATTTAGATCTTAAGGAAAAAGTGGAGCCTGAGGTTCACAGCACTGATATCCAAACTTCCCCAGAGCCAGGCACAAGAATGAACATTCTGCCGAAGAGAACAAGACGTATGAAGTCTCAGGTATCAATGTCTGTGGGCCACTTTTTTCTTTTTCTTTCTTTCTTTTGTTTTTTTTAACGAGATGGGGTCTTGCTATGTTGTCCAGGCTGGCTTCAAACTCCTGGACCCAAGTGATCCTTCAGTCTTAGCCTCCTGATTAGCTTGGACTCATTGCATCCGGCTTTGGGCCATTTTTAATAGGAATGTTAAGTGCATTTACTGTGCAGATCAGTTATCTGGTCATGGGAGGCCACTCGTATACTGCTGTAAAATTTGAAGAGACATATTTTTCATTTACCTTTGAAGTGCATGGAGAAGAAATTGTGAAGTGTAGCATAATTTGATTTAGAAACCTCTTTGTTAATTTTGAGTAGTTTTTGACAGAGATGACAAAGGGTGACTCTGGGATCCTGTAGTGCCAATTTTATAGATATGCTGATGAGTTCTAGAACATTTTGTTTTCATGGTTTGCAGAAGTGAGGGGGTAGGAACATGAGGTTTTATTTTTCACCCAACATTTCTTTAATCCTTTGCACTCAGACACATCGTAGATCTAGCAAATCTATGTCCTCTCGGGGACATAAAGAGATTGCTGGTGATTATACAGGACGAACATGCAAGAGTAAATTTTTTAAAAAGGTGTGTTTCTTTGAAGTTTTCCATTCAAAAACAATGAAAAACCTTTGTCCCATTTGAGATTTGTCAAGCTTCTTATCAATCAGTTGAGAAGTGGTTTTTAGGAATCACAAATGTCTTTCCACATTGTCTTCAAACAACAGACTGGACAATAAATTACGTATTATTAATGTGGGAGGAAGAAAATGAGATTACATTGTCTGCTTGAATAGAAAAACACCAGGTGGAAGAAGTCAAATTACTGTTGCACAACATGTATTAGTGAACCTGCAATACATGTAGGACTGTTTCACACATTGCCACACATTACAAAAATACAGGGTATAAAATTTTGATTTTTTTGTGTCATAAATAAATTTTTCAGTGCCCAAAATTCCATTGTAAGCCAGATGTAATTACAATAAAATAATGGTTCCAGCACTATACTATTTAATATGAAGTGATTCGTTTTTCTCTATTTCGTAAAAAATGTGGTCAAGTTGCTGGTAGGTGATTCACTGGATATCTCTGAGTGCAAAGGGCTAAAAACCAGAGAATACGTTTTTTGGTATCTGAGATCCCTCAACACAACATTTCTGTCATGTTCATGCGACCTAAAATAATTTCAAAGCCTAATGCATCAGAAGAAAAGGGCTCTAATTTCTTTTTTTGTCTGCCCCCCTTCTCTTTTTTTAAAGCTTCTCTTTCCTTTTAAACCCATATTTCCTTTCCTTTGTGATCTTTGAAGGTTTTTAATAAAGACAAGTTTGTAAGCTGAGATAGTGACGTACTCCTAGGACTCTTAAGATTTGATTCATTTAAATTAACACGTAGATAGGAATAGCAACTGCACTGAGTCTAGTCAATTTTATTTAACATTTATAGAAACAATGTTATAAAAATGGGAATGGTTTGCATCGAAAATGGGTATCAGAGAAGCAAGATAAGTCTGCTGTTAACTGGAGACACTGGATCTGGGGTTGTGTGGCGTCTTGTCACTGACTAGGTAGCTGTTAATACTTTATCTTGCTTTTCTACAGCTCAGAGGACAGCTCTCCATAAATGCCATTTCTTCTTTTCTTGTTCTGAGTTTATGTTTACTGAATACTAACTCAACTTCTTAGGTAGTCTTTGAAAGTAGTGTCCTGGATAGCAATGTGAACTTAATGGAAATTCTTTGGAAAGTGACAGTCCCATTATAAATTAGTAAACTCTGGTTTAGTCATTAAGTGATTTTTGTTAGTGTGATTGATCTCAGAAGTTCTGCTCAATGATGATTCTGTTTCAGGACCTGAAACATTGAGGACTAATCTCTTTGACACAGTGGCTTAACTTTGAAGGGTTGCCCAGTTGTCCCTGCCTCTCTAACCAGTTGCCAGCTTGTGATGAAATTCCTTTTAATGTTACCCCTGAAACTATGGAAAACGTTTGCCTATTCTAATTGCTTTTCTTTATATATTATAAAAATAGGGACCGTGCAGACATCATTTACCCATTGCAATAATTGGCTCTGTATTCAGGTTGGTTGGTAGCAGATAGAAACTTTAACTATTTCAGGATTTGAAGTTAAGAATGTTTTCAACTTGCAGTTTATACTTAATTACTCAGTTGGGAGCCTACCACTCATTCCTAGTCTTCTATTTCAGAAGGAAAAATAAAGGCATTCTGTCAGAACTCCTTCAACTTCTTGCCCTATATTTACAACTACTGGTATTCATCTTTAGTCTTTGTCTCTTTGGGCGAAGTGTAACTCTCTAAGGATAATGCCTCCACTTCTGTCACTTCTGACTTCTTTAGTGATTTCATTATATCAGATAGGAAATCTTTCTCTCCTATCTTCTCTGTCTGCTGAATTCCACCCCCATCTCAAGTATGTGTTCAGGTCTCTATCATCTTTTTTTTTTTTTTTTCTTTCAAGTTGGGGTCTTACTCTGTCGCCCTGGCTAGAAAGCGGTAACATCATCATAGCTCACCACAGCCTTGACCTGAGCTCAGGCAGTCCTTCACCTCAGGCTCTTGAGTAGCTGGAACTACAGGTGTGTGCTACCACATCCAGCTAATTTTTAAATTTTTTTGTGGGGATGTGGTCTTGCTATGTTGCCCAGATGGTCTTGAACTTCCATCTCTCAAAGTGCTGGGATTATAGGAATGAGCCATAGTGCCTGGACTCTGTCATCTTAAAAATAAAAGCCCTCTTTCTGTAAAATGCCTTATCCTTGCCACCAGTCTTCACAGAGAAGTTTGTTGAAAAATAGGTGTGTATTGTCTCAGTTTCCTAAATGTCTGTTTAGTTTTTATATTCTGTAATCTGATTTTGAGTTAAATAATTTCATTGAAATTGCACTATTCAAGTTACCACTAAGTTTTTTTTGTTTTGTTTTGTTTTGAGTTGGAGTCTCACTCTGTCACCCAGACTGGAGTGCAGTGGCTGCTCCCGGCCACCACAACTTCGACCTGCTGGGCTCTGGCGATCCTTCCGCCTCAGCCTTCCAAGTAGCTGGAACTACAGGTGCATGCTACCACACCTGGCTAATTTTTTTTATTTATTGTAGAGATGAGGTCTTGTCAAGTTGCCCAGGCGGGTCTACCACTAAGTTTTTAATAGTCAAATTCTGAGGTTTCTCCCTCTTTTTTTTGAGTCAGAATCTCACACTGTCGCCCAGCTGGAGTGCAGTGGCACGCTCACGGCCACTGCAGCCTCAACCTGCTGGGCTCCGATGATCCTTCCACCTCAGCCTTCCAAGTAGCTGGATCCACAGGTGCGTGCCACCATGCCCGGCTAATTGTAGAGATGAGGTCTCACAAAGTTGCCCAGGCTAGTCTCAAACCCCTGGGCTCAGGCAGTTCTCTTACCTCAGCCTCCCAAAGCACTGGGATTATAGGCATGAGCCACCGCGCCCAGCCTTATTCCTGTGTCTTGTTAGCATATCTTCATCATTGTTTCGAGCATTTACTTTTTGGCACAAAACTCATCTTCCTGTTCTGCTTTAGACCTTGAATCAGTCATTTCTCCAAGGCATTCTGATTCATTTTGGTCAGAAATCATGATCTGAGCTTATGATTGCTTGTTTCCACTGGAATGTTACTGTTTCTGGGACTTTTAGTGGTCATGGTTAGGAAATAAAATTTTTTTTTTTTGAGTCGGAGTCTCACTTTTTCACCCAGGCTGGAGGGAGTGGCACACTCATAGCCACCTGCTGGGCTCAGGTGATTCTTCTGCCTCAGCCTTCCAAGTACCTGAAGCTACAGGTGTGTGCTATCATGCATGGCTAATTTTTGATTTATTGTAGAGATGAGGGCTTGCCAAGTTGCCCAGGCGGGTCTCGAACCCGCGGGCTCAGGCAATTCACTCACTCAGTCTCCCAAAGGCACGGGATTATAGGCTGAGCCACTGAGCCCGGCTTAATTCACTTAATTTTTATTGTTTTGTTTTTATTGATATGTCTAAGACTGTAAATTTTCTGGGATCACTGCTTTAATTTGTTTGGATATATAGTTTTTTTGTTTTTTGTTTTTTGTTTTGAGTTGGAGTCTCTGTCACCCAGACTGGAGTGCAGTGGCCTCAACCTGCTGGGCTCCAGTGAGCTTCCGCCTCAGCCTTCCAAGTAGCTGGAACTACAGGCGTGTGCTACCATGCCCGGCTAATTTTTTATTTATTTTAGAGATGAGGTCTCGCTAAGTTGCCCAGGTGGGTCTCGAACCCGCGGGCTCAGGCAATCCACTCACCTCAGCCTCCCAAAGTGCTGGGATTACAGTCTGAGCCACCGAGCCCAGCTGATATGTAGTTTTTTTACTTTTTTAAAGAGATAGTTAAACATTTTCAGATGGAAGGGCCTCTTTGATTTTGCTGTTTATAGTTTTATTCCATTAAGATTACAGAATTTTTAAAATTACTTCTACTTTTTGGAATTTATAGCCTGTTTGAAAAAGGTTGTTTTAGTAACTGATTAAAATACTTAGATATGGCACATAATACATATGGCACATAATACATGTGTTAGCTTTTATTATTATGTTCTCTGCCTTAGTAGTAGCAAGGAATGTGTAGTGTTGTATTTATAATTTAGCTAACTGTGGAAGTTGGTTGTAAAACCAAGTCAGTCTATAGAAGTTCAGAGATAGACATTAAAAGCCATTTCCTTGCTAAGCCGTGGTCTGGCCATATGTCCTTTGAGCTATGGCCAGGTCATGTTTCTTTGGTTTGGCCCCCTTTCCTACCTTGGAGAGTTGAATCAATCAATCAATCAGTATCAATCTCTCTCCCTCTCCCTCTCCCTCTCCCTCTCCCTCTCCCTCTCCCTCTCCCTGTCCCTGTCCCTATCCCTACCCATCCCTATCCCTCTGGAGGAGGATGATGGCCCCAGGCTGGGACTGTCCAGTGAGCCCAGGGAACACATGCTTCCTCC